CCATTTTATTAGGTGCATACAAATGTAGGAATATTACCTATTGAATTGAACATGTTATTATCATGAAATGTCCTACTTTATATTAACATAAAACTATTCTCCATAATGGTATAACTTTCTTTTTTTTTTTTGAGACAGAGCCTCAAGCTATCCCCTCTGGGTAGAGTGCTATGGCATCACGCTCACAGCAACCTCCAACTCCTGGGCTCAAGCGAGTCTCCTGCCTCCGCCTCCCAAGTAGCTGGGACCACAGGTGCTCGCCACAACGCCCAGCTATTGTTTGGTTGCAGCCGTCATTGTTGTTTGGCGGGCCCTGGATGATTCAAACCCGCCACCTTAGGGTGTATGTGGCTGGCCCCTTAGCCACTTGAGCCACAGGCGCCAAGCCTGGTATAACTTTCTTTTGGCCAATTATCCTTCATTTTGCTCTCAGCATATCTGTGTTCTCTCCTCAAAAGAGAACTCCTGTAAACAGCATTTAGCTGAATCTATTTCAACTGGAAGGTTTAGCTTACTTACATTTAATAAAATATAGTTGGGCTTAAGCTATCATCTATTTGTTCCATCTATTCTTTATTCCTCCTTATAAAATTAGTCACATTTTGTTGATTTTTTGCAGGTCTTGTAACTTTCACACATGTTTATTTATTTATTCTTTTGAGACAGAGTCCCACTCTGTCTCCCTGGGTAGAGGGCTATGCCATCATCGTAGCTCACAGCAACCTCAGGCTCTTGGGCTTAGGTGATCCTCTTGCCTCAGCCTCCTGAATAGCTGGGACTATAGGCACCTGCCACAACATCTGGCTCATTTTTCTATTTTTTAGTAGAGACAAGGTCCTGTTGTCACTCAGGCTAGTCTCAAACTACTGAGCTCAAGCAATCTACTCTCCTCCACCACCCAGAGTTGTAGGATCATAGCCGTGAGTCATCACTCCAGGCCTACTATTTACATTTAGACTATCACCAACATTTTTAAAGAGAAAAAATTCCAAAAGCACATAAATACTCAATATAACTGAAAACTTTCTATTTTCATTTGGAAATAACTGAAATCACCAGTTTAATAATAACTACTGGTTGTGGAGCCCTTATCATTTAACATGGATTCATATACACAACATTACATTTGTTACCAACAAACCTTTGCAGCTGATTCAACATTTGCTTTAAGTTGCCTGTCATTATTTCCCCCTTTCTATAGGTATGATAATTAAAGCACAATGCAATAAGAGACCTGCTTCTGTCTGCACCAGGGTTTGCACTTGTTGAGAGGTTCTTCCAGCTGCATTTGCCTCCCTCCGCATATGGGCGTAGATGCTGTTCTTGGTAGAGATGAGGTCTCCTGTGCTGACCCTCTGAGACAAGGACCACACATACACCCAGGCTCCCTCCCTACAGTACCCACTTCTCGTTGGGACCAGAAACGTGTGTGAAACAGCTGTCCAGGATTAGCACAGCCTGCATGTCCGGAGGACCACAGGCCATAGGCAAATGACAACTTCTAGGAAATGAAGTTGAAAAGAGCCAAGTGCATATGCTATTTAAGTTCAAGTTCCTTTGGGGGGACTCACTTCCCTAGGTATTTAAAAGTGAGAGCCGTGTCTGGTTCTGAATTTATTTGTATCTGATATAAAGGCTAATATCTGTGAAGGGTTTTGAAGATGTAAAAACTTCTTCTTCTTCTTCTTTTTTTTTTAATTTGGCAATGGTGAATTTTTTTACCAAAGACTTCGGCATTAGGGGAAAGGATGTGGCAAGCTTTGCATCCCATAGGGGTTATCAAACTTTTAGAAACAAGGCAGAATTGGGCAAGAAAACTGGAGCTCAAAATTGAGACACACATGTTACCATAGTTACAACAGGAAAGGCTGTAAGAGGGGTACTTTTTTCCTATAAACAGTGAGATAAGCCTGGTGTGATTTAGGATCACTGGGGTGAATAATCCCAGCTTTATCTGCAGGGTTTCATCACGGGTTAAATACGTAACAGGGGAACAGAAGGGGGGAATAAATGATTTGTTTACGCTCAATAAAGATGTTGCTGCTGTTTTATTAGTTAACCTTAATTCTTAAAACCTATGCAACCCATGTAAATTATTCATTCTCCTACCAGCACATTACTGGACTTGACAACCATGACTAATTTCAGTTAGTTTAGTTATGACACTCTAGAGGGGTTTTAGAAGTGGGAGAATGTCTCTCTCACTCCTGAATTTCGGAGGCTGGATTAGGATAGAGCTGGGGCGATCACAGCAGCTGAGATGCCCCAGGGCTTACCCACAGCACCTTACCCTTCCCAAAGCTGTCTTTCTCAGTGATGGGATCTGGCCTGGTCTGTCTTCCAGTATTGGAATCTCTTGGGCAGCACCACTGCTGCCGGAGGAGTTTGTGTTCTTTGCTTTGATTATAGTTTTGTTGGTGATGCACTCATTATAATTTGATGGTTACAAATAATAATAATGATGGCAACAAAACAATAAAAACAACTAACACTTATTGTGGGGTACTATATTCAAGATACCATAAAAGTAATCTGTAATTTCATTGAATCTTCAGAAGAAAGACCCTATAAGGTAGATAAATATTATCACCTCCTTTTTACAGATAATGAAACTGAGGCTTACAATAGTGAAGTAAATCACCCCACTGCCTCATAGCTATGAAATGTCAGAATTAGAAGCCAGGGGCATTGGATGCCAAAACCTAAAAGCAAGCTTCATCCTCCAACTTCTACACCCAGAGCTAAAATCTGCTTCCTAGTTCTCTCTTTTGAGGACCCAGGGGAAAAAATCTTAATTCCTTTCCTCCACTCACTGTTTAGATATTTAGGGTGAATTGCAGCCTTGCTCCCTTTTCCTTTGTTCAGACTGCAGGACGCTGCTTTTAGATGTTTATTCACCAGCTCCACCGTACACCCATATTCGTCTCATTTGGCTTATCGCAGGAGCTCTCAGAACGTCTGCCTGCCCTGTCCCCTATCCCTGCACCCAGCAGCCAAGGTAGTCCTTAAAATATATGTTGAATCACTTCACCCCTCTGCTCAAAACACTTCCGTGGCTTTTCCCATCACTCAAAGTACAAGTGAAATCTATGTTTACAGTCTACTTCAAGATGATAATGTTGTCTTAATGAAATTATCTTTCCAAAATTCATGGTTCCCAATTATGCTGAGTTATAACAATATTCTCCTCTCTCTCTCTTTTTTATTGAGACAGAGTTTTATTTTGTCACCCTCAATACAGTGCCTGGTGTCATAGCTCACAGCAACCTCAAATTCTTGGACTCAAGTGATTCTCTTGCCTCACCCTCCCTAGTAGCTGGGATGAAGGTGCCTGCCACAACGCCTGGCTATTTTTTTTGTTTGGCAGGCCCAGGCTGTGTTCCAACACACCAGACCTGGAGCATGCGGCCAGCACCCTAACCACTAAGCTACAGGCACCCAGCTCCTGAAAATAATTAAGAGAACAGGTGCCCAAGGGATGGGCCCCACTCCGATATCCTTCCCCTCCACTCATACTTGCTCTAGATACACTGGCCTGCCGGCTGTTCTCTGAACATGCCACCTCCTTTTCTGGAATTTTCTGAGCTAGAATATTCACTTGGTTCTTTCCTGATCCTCTTCCCATTTCCCCTCCAAGGCATCTGGGGCTTTCTCCAATATACTCCATTGAAAAGAGAGTCTCTCCCCTCATCGGTATTCCCTCTCCTATTCCCTTCCATATCAGGGCAAGTGCTCCACAGCACTTATCACCAACGAACTTGTTTATTTTATTTATTTCTTTGTTTTCTTGCTTGCCCTTTCCTTCTTCCACCCATATAAGGATGCAAACTCCACGAGGACAAGGAATTTTATCTTCTTGGTTCAATTCTAGGGTTGACTCAAAGAAACTGGTCCACAAAATGACAATTTCATTTGGGTCATACCCCATCACTACGAACAGCCCTGGCTCAGAGTAGCACTCAGTAAGTAGCTGGTTAATAAAATAAGTTATCCATATATGAAATACTAAAAATATTGTATTATAGAGCCCTTTATTATCCTTGGGAAGAACTTTATCATTAGTGGGTCAGATTTCTGATATTGTCTGTGTAGGTCTGCCTAATCCTATACGGAGTACGATACAGAATAATAAAGGTTAAAAACCTTTCTATCATGATATTGGGCCACGCTTTTAATGCTGTGATATGTTATTTTCTTCCTAGCACTTACTAGTAATTTTAACACTCATCTGTCAGCCTCAGAACATCTTGTGTTCAAAATGGCAACTTCTCTACCAATTGGGAGATCTGTTTTCATTGAAGATAAGTCTTTTTTAAGCTAAATTAAGGCAGTGCTTTTGCAAAATCACCTGCCTGCCACAGAATGACCTATTTATTTTACTACCCCTGTGCTTACAGAGAGGAGTGGGTACTTTTTAGAAAATAATGATGAACTAATAATAATGTTTCATTTAGAAAAATCTCTGTTGATTTGTAGCTTATAATAAGCCTCTAGCTGAAAAGCACTGCGGACACAAACTTTGTCACAGGGCACTGTGAAAAAGTGCCACAAACTGGCAGATTTGACATAGTATATATTTGGTTGACTTTCACAATGTTTCAGCCACAGTATTAAAAATGCAGGAAATTCTAATGTTGAGGAACAGAAATACTATGATGGAATACATTATACAACAGAATAAGAAAAACGAGGATAATTATTGTAGGGTGGAGACAGTAATCCTTATTAAATCACAAGGTGTTGTAGAAATTACTGTCAAAACCAAGTCACCCTTCGATTACCATTTCAAATTATTCACTGTTAATTTGCAGCACTTCTTATGGAAAGCTGGAGAAGTTCTGCTCTCACACATTGAGGGCAAGGAGATAGCTTAGAAATTTTAAATAGATATAAGAAAGGCTTTCCCCCTCATTTTAAAATCCCCCTAAGAACCACAAATCAGCAAGAATTCTCACAGTCATGTATAATTTAATATAAAGCATTAGTTTTTTTATACCCACAACAAAACATGGACCTGCAGAAGTTTTCAAGCAATCCTCCAGCAGCTTCATGCGGGCCTTCTGGAGCTCCGGGCTGTCCCAGTCATCTTCATCAACTCCCCAGTACAGGTCAATGACCTGGGAACAAACGGATGAGGCAGCATTAACTCACTGGAGTGAAAAGTAAATTCACTTGTGGCTTTGCTCTTTTCTGATGTGACGCTAATGTGATTTAACTTTTCTCTTGGTAGTTTGTTTTCCTTTATGAGGAAAAATAATTTTCTGACACAGGGTCTCATCTGCCATCCAAGCTGGATTGCACTGGCATTATCATAACTAACTGCAGCCTTAAGTTCCTGGGCTCAAGCAATCTTCACATCTCAGCCTCCTGAGCAGCTGGGACTACAGGTGTATGCCACCACAGCTGGCTAATTTTATCTTTTGTAGAGACAGTGTCTTGGTATTGCCCTGGTCTTAAGCAATCCTCCTGCCTTAGACTCCCAAAGTGCAAGAATTACAGGTGTGAGCTACTGAGGCTGACCCAGAAAATGATTTTTAGGATCCATGTAAAGAGGCATTTTTTTATTCCATGATGGGGTGGGAAGGAACATTATCATTTCTTATTTTTTTTTTCTAATCATGCTGTTGACATGGGCCTAGAGAAAACGAAATACTAAATGCCAAAGGCTTTGGAGTGCAAGCTTTTGTTGCATTGAAATGATAAGAAAAAAAAGTTGGAAAGCAGCTCAGATAAGGTTACTGCATTATTTGAGACAGTTAAATGACAGTGTATAATGTTACTGTAGGTTTTAACATGAGCAAGGAAAACCATCAGGCGCATTCACATACACTGATCTGAAGTAAAACATCTATATTAAAAAAAGAGAGAGAAACCAAAGAACCCTGTTATTATTATGCTTTATCCCAGAGAAACAGATCTTGTTTCTGTCTGTTTTATCTGTAAGCCATTTGACTTTCATCAATATATACATATCTGAAAAACAGGTATTGAGAAACAATGAAAGGCATGCCTTACTGAGAAGCGAGGGTAACAGAATCCTCTGTATTCCTACTTCAAAGATTCCTAGGGAAGATTCTGAGCATCTGTAACAACTTTTCCAAGTACACTCTTTGAAAAGTGCTATGGAGAGCAGCCGGAGCTCATTTCCTTCACTCAACTGCTATCTGCATAAAAAAAATGTTTCCAATTGCGGCTTTGAAGATTTCTTTTCCTTTCCTTGTTTCTTACAAGCAGAAACAAGAGATACCTCCTGCCTCACTTGCTGTTTGCTGGCACTCAGGGAGATGAACTCAGAGAGCCAGTCCTCCCTAGCGGCCCACGCACATCCTGGAGACTTTGCTTGCTTCTTGATTTTGGCTGTGGCCCCCCAATTGAGTGTGTTTGTACCAGGTCTTTCATCTGTGTTTGAGTTTTTAGAAGGCTGATAGATATATAACAGCTTCTTTAAAAAATATTCCACGTCCTATTTTACGAGTTTTCTATAAAACTTAGTTTTATCATACCGAATTATTCATTGTTAACTTGCAGAATTTCTTATGGAAAGCTGGTGGTTTTTGTTCTCACACGCTGAGGGTAAGGAGACCATTTAAAATTTTATGAAAATTATGAAAATTGTTATAGGAAGATCAGCACCGATTTTGAGGCCCTTTTCTCTAATCTACTTTACAAAGTTTAATCACACAATACTAGGGTGAGGGGTATGTAGGTCTCAGAGAGCCTGGCAGTCACTGGGCTCCACTGGAGGTGTGATCAGCACACCAAGTTCAGTACCAAAGTGTGGTAGGAACTCAGGTCCTCTCTGCCACCTTTTGGACCCATGTTTCTGGCACAAGGGGAGAGCTGGAATCAGGGCAGGTTCTTTTCTCTGGCATCTATCTGGCTTGTTGATGGAGGAGGCCATATAGAGATTTTTCTGGGAAAACTAAATGCCTAAAGCCAACTGTATGGTAAAGAAGACTCACTGGAATCCGATTTACTCTTATTTGCTGGTACTCTTTAGATTGAGTTGAGCCCAGACCACCCATGGCCTCTTAGTTCCAGATCCTTGTGGGGATACCACCAAGGACCATATTCTACTTTTGTATGATTTAGAAAAGGGCATCTTCTACTAGTTGCCAGAAAATGGTTATAATATGTTGAAACAATTAAAACAAGACATTTTTGGCCATCTACCAAAAACAATTGTCCAAATAAACACAAAAATCCACTGCGATGTGTACGGTGCACCCTAGCTGTGCCATGTAATCTAAAACTGTACACAGAATCCCTTCTTCATTCTTTTGACAGATATTGTTTGGATGCAATTGGGGCAGGTCTGACTTAGTACAAATGAAAAGAAATAGTAAAAATGAAAGTTAAGATAACAAAAGCTATATAAATATATATTTGCTTTTCTCTTGTCTTCTTTAAAAGATAGACAATTATATGAGGCAATTATATTATCAACAGCATGCTGCTGGATTTGTGTGTAACACATCTAACAATAATGTGACAAAAAGGGGGAAAAAGGAATAGAGCTATGGAGGAATAATCTTTCTATCGCTCAACAAATTACTCTGTCTTTTTTTTTTTTAATTGAGACAGAGTCTCACTTTGTCCCCCTCTGTAGAGAGAGCCATGACATCACAACTCACAGCAACCTCAAACCCTTGGGCTAAAGCAATTCTCTTGCCTCAGCCTCCCTGGAAGCTGGGACTTATAGGCACCTGCCACAAAGCCCGGATATTTTTTTTTTCTTATTTGTTTGTTTAGCAGGCCTGGGCCAGGTTCAAACCCACCAGTCCCGGTGCATGTGGCTGGCATCCTAACCACTGGTCTACGGGAGCCCAGCCAATACAAAGAAATTTGAGAAAGTCACCAGTTTGTGAAAACTACCATACTCCCAAATAATCAGTGGGTCAAAAAAGTAATCACAAGGGAAATAAAATGATGTTTTGAGATAAATGAAAATAAAGACACGACATACCAAAATTTATGGAATGTAACTAAATGTATGGAATGTAACCAGTATTGAGAAGAAAATTATAGCTGTAAACACAGATACTAAAAAAGAAAAAATTTCAAACTAGTAACATGACTTTGTACCTTACAACAACATAAGGAGAAAAAGAAGCCCAAACTAAGCAGAAAGGAGGAAATAATAGATTACAATGGAAATTAATAAAATAATAGAAAATCAATAAAACAAAAAAACTTGTTCTTTCAAAAGATCAAAAAAATGAATAAAACTTTAGCTGGACTGACAATAAAAATAAAAGGAGAACACTCAAGTCACAAAAATCAGGAGAGAAGAAAAGGCTGTTATGATCAGCTGTATGGAAATTATGATTTTAAGAGTATATATTACGAACAACTGTGCGCCAATGAATTGGGTAACTTAGAAGAAATGGACAAGTTCCTAGAGACACAAATTAGTGAAATGGACTCAAGACAAAATAGAAAATATGAAGCTTAATAAATAAAGAGGTTAAGTGTAAAACCAACACTATATTGGTTATTTCTAACAAACAATTTTAAAAGAATTAATGCCAATTCTCTTAATAAACTTTTTCAAAAATTAGAAGAGAAGAGAATACTTCCTAACTTATTTATGAGGCCAGTATGACTCTGCCAGCAAAACCAAGCAAAAATAACTCAAGGAAACTAGATCAGTATTTCTTATGAATTATAAGGCAAATATCCTTAGCAAAATACTAGAAAACCTAATCCAGGGCATATGTAAAAACTATACAACACAATCAAGTCAGATTTATACGTAATGCAAGATTGCTTAGGCATCAGGAAAATCAACTAATGTAGTATACTATATTAATAGAATAAGAAACAAAAACCACCTGATAACCTCAATAGACAGAAAAAATATTTTGACAAAATTCAATACTTTTTAAATCCTTTTTAATGCTGAGGTAAAAACACTCAATAAACTAGAAATAGAAACAAAATTCCTCAACCTGGTAAAGGAGATTTATGAAAAGCCTACACGTAACATCATTCTTAATGGAGAAAGACTAAAATCTTTCCTCTTAAGATTAGAAATAAGAAAAGGATGTTCACTCTTGTCTCTTCTATTCAACACTCTACTGCAGGGTACAGGCAGGGAAATGAGTCAAGGAAAAAATGCATCTATATGAGGTAATCTTATATATCAAGATCCTAAGGAAACCACCAAACCCCCAAACTAATCAGTAAGCTGAGCAAGGTTGTAAGATACAAGATCAAAATACAAATCAAAACAAAATCACTGTATTTCTATACTCTAGCAATGAATAATCTATGATAAAATTAAAGAAACAATTCCATTTAAAAGAAGAACATCAAAAAGAAGAAAGGTATTAGGACTAAATGTAACAAAAGGAATACAAAATTTATACTCTGAAAATGACAAAAATTGATTAACTAAAGAAGATCTAAATAAGTGGAAAGACATGTACAAGTACATGTATCAGGAGACTTATTAAAATGGCAATATTTCCCAAATTAACCTACAGATTAAATGTGATCACTATAAAATTCCCAGCTGGCTTATTTGTAGAAATCAACAATGTAACTCTAAAATTTATATGGAAATTCGAGACCTAAGATGTACAAAACAATCTTGTAAAAGAAGAACAAAGTTGGAGAACTTACACTTCCAGATTTCATGCCTACTACAAAGCTACAATAATTTAGACAGTGTGGTATTGGCATAGGAACAGATAGACCAATCAATGGATAAAATAAGAATACAGAAATAAATCTTCACACTTAAGGTCATCTGATTTTCAACAAGGATGCCAAGACAATGAAGAATGTATAACCTTTTCAACAAATGGTGTTGGGACAACCCGATATTCACATGCAAAAGAATGAAAACTTAATCCCTACCTCACACCACATAAAACAGTTAAAATAGATCATGGACAAAAATTCAAGAGTTAAAACTGTAAAATGCTTAAGAGAAAATAAGAGTAAATCTTTGTGACTCTGATTGGATAATAGTTTCTTAGATACCATACTAAAAATGTAAGTGATCAAAGAAAAAATAAATTAGACTTCTTCATAATTTAAAAAAATGTGCTTTAATGGACACTATTAAGACAATGAAAACTGTAAACACAGAATAGAAGGAAATATTTGA